GAAGTCGGGCATAGATTCTGAACTGCGAAGATTGAACTCCATACCTACTAAAATAAAAAGAATGGTGAGGAGTAAAGGGAAATTGAAACTATAATTTATAGGAACCCCATATCCCTAGCAAGCTGCGGATTCTATCCAAGGAATGGAATGATTCGCGGAGAGATTTATGCCCTCGAACAGATCCTGCATTAAAAGACGCATCTCCGAGAATATTTGAAAAGAAAGGAAAGTTGCAAATGTTTCCATAAATAAAAAGGGGCCGAAGCCCATTACGAGTTTAAAATAAGTGAAGAAGTTTGAGAACATTTATGGAAGAGGCTCAGGAACAGGCTCCTTCATCGCCGGTTTAGTCTTCGAAGTGGACGCCTTGTTCTTGGCATCCACTTCGGGATGATCCCGAACGCGTTTCCGACAGGTGCTGGCCTCCTCTTCGTCTTCTTCTTCGCTGTCAGATGGAACGGCGCAGATGGGGGCGTTCACGGGACCCGGGACTCCTTTAGCGCGGAGATACATCCGAAGCATCTTCGGGATCTCAGCGACAGAGTCAAAGTTCCGCCATTCCCATTGAAAGGGATCACTTTCCAAGGCCCGTATCTTCCTCTCCACCCGAGCAATGCGAGCCTCGAGTGTTTGCCTTCTGAGGCCCAGCCGTTGCCTCTCTTCACACAAGCGACGGTGCTTGTCGGCAACCTAGCATAAAGATGAATGAATAAGATGAAACAAAAAGTTTTTAAATCAAAAACTTTATATATTTACCTTGTCAATAAAATCGCAAGCCTCTTTCTTCTCCTTTGAAGGAAAGTGAAAGACGGCGTGGGGGAAAAGAACGCCGACCGGTTCAAAGCCATCGCCGGACAAAAAAAGTGGGCTGCCGGGATCAACGGGGGCTACTTTTTCGTTTTCCATTCTTGAAATATTTCTCAAGTAAGATTCTAAAATCGTGTTTAAATAAAGCTTAGAAGTAGATAAGCCTTTATTTATAATGATTTAGGGTTTGTCTTGGAACCATAAATCCAATAATGGTAGTGTGTCCGAGTGGTTTAAACCATTTTTGGAAAATCGAGAAAAGGCAGTTATTGCATTAAAGACGAGCCGTTTTCCTTACTTATAAGAAGGGAAAGAGCAACCGTCGCATTAACTACAAAAGTTTCTAAGGCCCAAGCCCAATAAATTTATCGAGTTGACTAAACCCGAAGTGGGGAACTCGCTTTAAGCCGAGCTCAGTTCTCGCATTCTTAAGAGAAAGGTCTGATCAGTCTAAAAATCTCAAAAGCATAACCACAAGGCCACAAAAGGTTAAAAGCGGACTTTGCAAACCTGCATATAATTTTAACCAAACCCCCTTGGGTCATAACCTAGAAAGGTTTAAAAGCCTCCTCAGGCAAATATCTTGTTCAAAAGAAATGATAAAGCCTCCTTAGGCCAAAAATAAGTTCGAAATTAAGTTTAAACTAAATGGGACAATCCCCAGTTTAAAGTGGACACAGCCACTACGGATCGACCTCCATCTCGGACTCCGGCTCAGCTGTCAAAGTTTCACTCGTTTCCTTAATTGGCGCTTGATCAGATGAAGCTCCCGGACCACCCTCCGCGGTACAACCATCCTTCGGAGTGACCTCCGGCACCGCAGGAACTTCGGGTGGGACAACGTCTTTCGTCTCACTTGAGCCTAGAAAAAATAATTCCAGTCAATCAAAGGTACAAGGTAAGAAAAGGTAATGAGTATCAAGAGCCAAAAGTTACCCGCCCAGTCTAGACCCGATTCACTTATAGGAGGAGAATCTGTGAAGAATTCCTCAAAGTCCTGCGGGTTGAAAGTCGAAGCGGGAAAAGCTGCCAAACGACTCCGCTTTTCAGAGAGATTGGTTGACAGTTCGGCCCTCTCCTGCACCTCGGAGAAATCTGCATCATGGATTTGATCCAACAGAATCAAATTGCTCTCGTGCTCCTTGACGTCTGATTCCAGATCTGACCTAGCCTTCTCGGTTTGAATGAAGCGGATGGCCTCCTGGATCAACTCCATCCCACGTCCCTTAACATCTTTTCTGGCTTTCGATGCCGACCTTGCCAACTCGGAATCACGCAACTTGGCTAACGCCTTGTACTTCGCGTTAAGCTCGATAAATTGGTTGTTTAGGGTATCGGCGGTTGATTCGGATTCATGGAGTCTACCCTGAACACCAGAAAGTTCATCCTGGAGTTTGTAATTCCGGGCATACTGGTCTTGCAGCTCCCGCTTTATCTGCGCAAGATCGGATGTTAAGCTGTCGACCTTGTCCTCCAGATCGTGCTTGGAGCCGGTAGAAGAACTGAGTTCAGCCTCAAGAGCTGAGAATTTCTACTTCCACATGTCAATCTCCTTCTCCCGTC